TTTAAACTTAATAATTTGTATTTAATAAATTAATAAATTTACCTTAGATTTAAAAGATTTATTAATTGAAACATCAAGTGGTTTCAATTTACTTGTAAGACCACCTGGAATAACAGCCAAGTTAATATTTTTCTCATCAAATCTTTGTTTGACTGAATCTGTCAAATGTTCGCGGAATAAATCTAATACCAGTAATAAATGCGGATCTATTGATCTTATTACACGAAGATTCCAAATATTTTCAATTCACCATAACATTTCATTAGTATTCATATATCCTTCACAATTTGCATGAACTACAACTCCAGAGGGAAAAGTTTGTCTTGATACATTTACTAATTTAAAAATTATCAGTGGTGGTAATTTTGTACCATCTGCTATACAGGAAAGTACCACAGTAAAATTTGATTTTTCATGTCCTATAGTACATATACTAACTGTTCTGGAACCTGTTTCTTCTACTGTCATATTACTAGAAATATCAAATGTTAATGGGGTTTCATCCATATTTCCTATTAATTTCAAAAGATAATCATGTTGAATACTGTGGTAAAGAATAAAATTCAAAAATTCTTGCTGTTTTTCTAATAAATTTTCTGGCAACCTTTGAGTAACTGTTGTACGGCGACAATTACTTAGTTTGTAATGTCGTATAAATCTGTTTAACCATCTTTTACCCCATTTGCACTCAGATATATTTGGATAGGCCGATATATATTGTAATTTATTAGAATAAGATTTTGCTTTTTCACGAATCATAAAACGCGAAACAACTTTTTGTTGAACATACAAGGTCTTAACTCACTTGATAAGTTTCTCTTCAAGTAAAGGATATTGAGGTTTTGTTCCAGGAGTAAGTTTTTTTACATGTGGTTTCGCTCTTAATAATTTATTTTTATTATTAATCCAATCTCTTAATTGTTTAGTTTGAATATTAAATTTTTCTGCAGTATTTCGTTTAGATGCATTAGGATTCTTTTCAAAATATGTTATTATTACTAATTTTTCTCATGCATTCCAACTTCTTTTCTTTTTACACGTAATAGATGCTCTTTTCAAAATTGTTGGATCGCGAGCCATGTTTTTTTAAGAAAAAAAAAT